CACATCCTTTCCTCAAGTAGAAGTACAGATACTCCTGTTTAAAAATACTCTGGTGAAAGTAGAAGTACTGACTAAACTTCTTTACTCAAGTCAAAGTAAAGAACTTTGAAATGTACTTCAGTAAAAAGTACCCATAACTAGCAGCTGTTTTAAAGAGTACCTGACCTCCCTTTATATTAATAGAACAATAATGTCATTGTTAGCTAATGAATGTTTCCATGCTGAACAACGGCAACATGACAACGTTTTCATTGGTCCCTCTTCTTTAGAGAAGACCAAGAAATGATGGATACACGGATCGTGTTCAAATCAATAGGCACGCAATGACTCTAAATAATAATGATCACGCCACCAAACACACATTCAAACTAAAGGAACCAGCCTGTTTGGAAAATGTAAGAAGTAGAAAGTACAGGTATTTGTGTTCAACATGTAAGAAGTAAAAAGTACAGGTATTTGTGTTCAACATGTAAGAAGTAGAAAGTACAGGTATTTGTGTTCAACATGTAAGAAGTAGAAAGTACAGGTATTTGAGTTCAACATGTAAGAAGTAGAAAGTACAGGTATTTGTGTTCAAAATGTAAGAAGTAGAAAGTACAGGTATTTGTGTTCAACATGTGAGAAGTCAAAGTAAAAAGTCGTCAGAAAAATAAGTAGTGGAGTAAAGTACTGATACCAGAAACATGTATTTAAGTACAGTACCTCTGGTAATAAGTAGATATTAGGCCAGCCAATCAGGGTTCATTTCAGTTTTTGATGTTGAGCAGCTTTTAAAGCACCAAAAGTTACAATGTTATCTCAGTATTTATTACTTTGGACTAGAGCAAATCTGTTATGTTGTTTTCTCTTTAAATGTTGTTGAGACCTGAGTAATTTTGAATTGTATATTCCTTTTTATATATTAGGGCTGTGACAAAATATCGTTACAAAATAGAAACATTGTATCAATCAAATGTAATATTTAACTTTGATTACTGAGCACCTTTTTAATTGTGAAATAAATGTGACTTATTTTGTATTGGGCATAGATGATAGGTTGAACAAGATTAACATAAAGATTTAAGAGGCACTTATATGATTGTATTAACATATCAATATTACATTTTAGTATTTTATACAATATAATAATATTACGACAGCTCTAATATATCCAATAAAAAGCCATCTGTTGGATTTTTGCAGGTCAGGTAAGGGTGCCATCCACATGTGGAACCTGAACACCAGGAGGGCCGAGACGGTTGTAGAAGGGCATTCTGGGAACTCAGTCGTGTGGGTCAACACACTGCGGGGGACAGACACTCTCATCAGGTGAGGACGACTTCTGATAACATGTCCGTCCCTCTTACTCTAAACTTTCTACGACCATTTTGGAATAGACCTTTTTATTGGTAACTTCAGATTTCATTGTTTTTTTGTAACTATACTTACAACTTCTGCTCATGCTTTTTGAAATATGCGTTGAACTGCAGCGCGTGTCTTTTCTCTTGGCCTCTCTGTTGTGGAGCAGTCAGGGACGGGACATGCGAGTGTGTCTGTGGGATCTGAGTGAGGGTCGCAGGGCGGTGCTGGACTCGCTGTGGACCGGCAGCGTTGGGTTCTGTCAGTGCTCGCTGCTGGAGATGAGTACCGGGACACATCTGCTGGCCTTCGCTGGACAACAGACCGAAGAGGTTAGACATCAGCAATGAAACTCTAAATTGTCTTTGGGTGTGGATAAGATAAGATGGAGCTTTATTAATCCCGATTGGGAAACTCAGTGGGTTTTTTGACGAATAAAAGAGCAATCTTTTCCCACTTCCTTTAGCTCTGTTCTGTTCTTTTAGTTTTAGCGCCTGGCCAACACGCTCATACATCATTTAGAGATATATTGTTTGTTTTTGGTACATTTATTTCCATGTTATCGTTTCCATTTATTCACTGTTCGTTCTCTTCTTTAAACAAAAATGAAGGTATCTTACCAGACGATGTTGAAACAGTTTCGTCACTTAAATAAACAAATCGTAACTTCTCTGCAGTGCAGCGGTCAAAAAAACGTGTGGCTTCACAACCAAAATAGAACCCAGAGTATAATCAGCAGGACTCTTTTAACCAGCCGAGGCAATCGAAGCACCAATCAGCCGCTCCGCCCAACCGTGGCTGCGGATCACGCTCAACTGACACCAATCAATTATACTCCATTACATACATTAAATGATTATATAATCAAAATAAAAAATCAACGTTTTGGCTCTTACAGTGTGAAAACAGTATTTATTTTATGTCCAGTATTTGTGTCACATTGTTGACCCCTTGTTGTGCAGCCTGGCGGATGTGATGGGTCGAGGTATAGTATCTTTGTTTAGCTTATTTTGTAAATAGCAACCAATCTGCCAGTTCATGCTGGGATGTACTCCCATTAAAAAAAAAAAAAAAATGGATGCAATTTCACATTTTAACCTAAACATTTGCCAAAGATGTACATTTTCACAGTTTGTATTGGAAGTTTACTCTTTATAATTGCAAATGTTTAGGTTAAAATGTGAAATTGCATCCATTTTTTTTTTTTTTTACTTGGTCTGAGGAACTATTCTAATTTTTTGAGATAGGATTTTTGAGTTTTCTTAAGCTGTATGCCATAATCAGCAATATTAAAATAATAAAAGGCTTGCAATATTTCAGTTGATTTGTAATGAATCCAGAATGTATGACATTTTTGTTTTTTTTAATTGCATTACAGAAAATAAAGAACTTTATCACAATATTCTAATTTTCTGAGACAGTCCTGTATCTGTCCGTCCGTCCGTCCATCCGTCTGTCTATATATCTATCCATCTATCTATCTATCTGTCTGTCCGTCCGTCTATATATCTATCTATCTATCCATCTATCTATCTGTCCGTCCGTCCGTCTGTCTATATATCTATCCATCTATCTATCTATCTGTCTGTCCGTCCGTCCGTCCATCCGTCTGTCTGTCTATATATCTATACATCTATCTATCTAATCCGTCTGTCTGTCCATCTATCTATCTATCTATCTATCTGACTCCTTTGTTTACCACCTGAACAGAGAGACATCTCTATGTAAAACTTGTACTTCTATTGGCTAGCGCTTCAACACATTGTACGTGATAGGCTAAGGGGGCGGGACATCTCTAAGCGGTTGACCAATCACAACAGAGCCGGCCATCTAATATTCAATACAATTCTATTTCAATTCAAAGGTTGCACATAAACACAAGTGTCGACATTTATTTTTTTAAAGTCTACAATTATTTATATCCTAACGTTAGCTTTTACTTTAGAAATCATAAGTGGTGTTAATATGTGGAGATTATCCAGCTGGAAAATGGACTTTATCACACGTAAGATTTGCTATCTGGTTACTCAGCAGCAGTTTGATACTCAGTTTTTTGTATTTGTTTTGAGAACATATCGCCGCTGCATTGATTATCCGCCCGCCCACCTGTAATGGGCGCATCGACCTCCAGCATGCACTTCTCCTGGCGCAGGATGTTGGCTCCGTCGTTGATGATCTTCAGCGCCGCCTCCTCCTCCACGCGGCCCTCCTTCACCAGGTGAGTCCGCAGCACCTCGGGGTTCGGCTTCCCGTCCACATAAAGCTCTTTGACCGTCAGCTTCTGCTGCGGGGGGTATGGCACCGCTGGGGAGGGAACAATCAGATCCAGGTTTATCACCAGGTAGGTTGACACGTACAAGGAATTTGACTTGATGTCGTGGTGCATACATAAAAGTAAAACAAAAATGTAAAAAACACAGATAGAGAACTATGCATTTATCAGGTTAATTACATTGTTTGTTGCCATTGTGATCTTTTAATTTTACACTTGAAGATTTATTAATCAGTTAAAAGAGAGTTTCATAAAAACATGATTTTGTATTAAAGAGGCCCTATTCTGCTTTTTGGGGTTTTCCCTTCCCTGTAGTGTGTTCTATAGGTTTTAGTGCATGTGAATGGGCTACAAAGGCTAATATCCCTGTGTTCCCTTCAGAGGGAGTTTCTCTCCCACACTCCCCCCCTAACTGCTTCAAACAACTCCATTGGACTCCTTTGTTTGCTTCCGGAACATGGTGACAATTGGCTAGCGCTCCAACACATTGTACGTGATTGGCTAAGGGGCGGGACATCTCTAAACTGACCAATCAGAGCAGACTGGGCTCTGGTTTCAGACAGAGGGTGAAAAGAGGTGCTGCAGCACAGGCAGGTGTCTTCCCACTTTGCTCCTTTTTTACATTAGACCACATAAGAAACTATACTTGTTTTGCTTGGTCGTGGTTCTTAGGGTTATGGTTAGAGTTTATAGATCTAATGATGCATCCCATAAAGCATTGCATCAAGTCTGTTGACGAAGAGATTGTTGTTGGGGCGAAATGGGAATAAACCACACAGACAGTGCTATGAAGTGCAATAAAGAGCTTTTTGAACATTAAAGCATGGAGACATGTCAAAGGAGAGGCACTAAATACTGATATGAAGCCGAAAAATTGGCAGAATAGGGCAGAGATTTTAAAGACCAATAAAAATACCGGCAGATTAATCGTTAACGAAAACAATAGTTGGTTTCAGCATTTGGTATTTTTTTAATTCAAACAGCACAGAGGCAGGACTGAGTCGATTAAAGTCAAATTGCTATCTCAGAATTCATCAATGTCATCACATATTTTCCTCATATTGATTTCGGGTACGATGTGTTTACAGAGACATGTTTTGAAAATAATTGTTAAACATTAAGCTGTGCATACCATGAACGGAACAAATACAAATGAAATGTTCTGGAGCTGTAATCATGAGCGCTGACATTTGCATCGAGAGAGCTAAGATGAAGGTATTGGCAGCAGAGGAAGAGGAGGGGGTCAGTACACCTACATGATGAAGAGATGCACAGAGCGACAGCAAGAAGCCCTGCAACCCCCCCACCTTCTCCTCTCAGTAATCTGCTGCTGCACCGCCCACACAATCCTTTTAGCGTCGTCACTTAAAGTCACTGCTTCAGACCTGAGAGCTGCAGCAACACAGCAGCAACGACTGAAACTCAAACACCTAAGATTTCCATCGACATAACTACACTGTATGTACGTATGACAAATAAAAGCCTTGAACATCTCAGTGCCTGACAGAGGGTCCAGGAACACACATATCTACAAAGTGTAAGAGATTATCGTTTGTATTTCAAGGCTTCAAGGCTTGTATTGTCATGTGTGCATAGCAACAGTGTAGATATGACAATGAAAATATTAGGTCACAGGCTCCTCCAACAGTGCAACACAATAACACAGATAATAGTGCAAGCAAATACAATTAATTGAATATAGAGTGTAAGAAAAGGTTTTTAGAGAGTACTTGTCCAAATACATTTTTCCCTTAGCTATACTTTGTACATGCTGCACCTATTTTGAATATCAACATAAAGCATACACGAATCTGGGTTACTGTAACTAAGGTAACATGTTATTGTTTATTTGTTCATATTTGGCAAGAAACATGCTATACAAGAATCTTCCTCTTGGGGCCACTGGAATCTTCTTCTTCGGCATTGTCTTTTACATTTTCCCACAGTTTGACGACGCCGCTAACGTAAGTGAGCGATAAGAGTTTACTGCATCACACCAAGCCCCCAGATAGTGCGCCGGACTCTGATGAAAATATTTGTTGTGTCCAAACGGCGGTACTACAATTTCCGTATCAGTCCGTGACGTAACTGGGCCCAGAAAGACTTTTCCCCATTGACTAACATGAAAGAGACGTCTGTAAATCAGCAGATCAGTTTTTTTTTTTAAACTACCCAGTATGAACTATTTTATAGCCCTTATTAAAATCATTCGGTCCTTAAAGTTGTAAAATGCACTAAAAGCCGAATCTAGATTTATGTTCTGTCTCCATTCATTCTAGTGAGGCGAGAGTGGGAGCTCGGG